CTCGGGGCCACACCCGACCACCCAAGCAGTGCTGACCTGACCTGGCCACTATGCCATCATGTGTCCCGAAGGCCCTTTGCTGCGTCTTCCCACCACGCACCTGTGGGGACCCTCTGACCCACCAAAGATGATAGGTGGGACCCCTCCCCCGTACCCCACCAACTTCGTGTTTGATCCCAGAGGCCCCTGTGGCGGGGGCCACCACCTGCTCCCCAAGACCACCAGGGCTGGCCCTCGGGTATTGTCTAGGGGGCAGGAGCAGAAACAAAGGGGCCGGGAAGGAGGGGGCTGCGGGGCTCAAGATGGCCCCTCCCTGGGCAAGGGAGACCCCTAAGCATGCACACACAGGGGGGAGGGGTGGCACAGCCACCACACCCGGTGCCCGGCCCAGGGCCTAGGAGATCCAGGCAAAGTCCTTGCCAGCCGACCCCAAGGGGCTGCGGGGCCCCCGAGGCGAGTCCTCGTCTTCCTTGTCCTCCCCCAGCAGCGCGTCCTCAGGGGCCAGGCCATCATCCTCGTCCTCACCCAGCTCCTCCTCGCCGTCCCCGCGAGGGTCGTCGGGGTCCTCCAGGTAGGGCCCGTCACTGGAGAACAGCTCAGGGGAGCCCACGGCCCCAACACCATCCAGCGGCCCGGCCGCGCCACGGCCTGCGCAGTCGGCACACACGCCGTGGCGCCGTGAGCCGTGCTTGATGCCCACGCTGGCGGCCGACATAAACACCCGGCTGCACAGCTTGCACACATACTTCTTGTCCTTGCTGTGCACCTGCGGGGACAGGCGGTCGGTGAGTGGGCAGTCGGAGCAGTGTGTCCTATTGGAAAAGGGTTTGCAGGGCCGTGTCCTTCCTCTCTACTCACCAACACCACATGGATGGGTCGCTGTCCCGGGTGCTCCTCGGCTGCCCTCCCCAGTGGCCCCCGCCCGTCCTCCCGCCACGCCCATCCACAAACCCCAAACCCGGAGCCCTGCCACGCTAACGTGTGCTGCTCACACTTGAGCAGCATGAGGTCGTGATCGGGGCTGAGGGCCAGGCCCTGGAGCCAGGCGCTGCGCCCACAGCTCTGCCCTAGCAGGGGCTCTCCGGGACCCTCCTGGGTCTTTTTGTTTGTTTGACACTTTAAATCCAGGGCTTCCTCAACCCTCCCCCAACAAAAGAACACAACCTGGAGAAATGAAAGGGGGAGATGCCGGTCCCTCCTCAGAGAGAGAGCCTTCGCATTTCAAGGTCATTTTCAGGGATTTCTGACCCTCCCTGACGCCCAACCACAAACCTGGGATAAAATTCCAAGGTGAGTGGGCAACGCAGGTCCCGACCCTCCAATAGGACCAATGGTTACTGAACCTCGAATGTGGTTTTGCTAAAGAAAAGATGTAGCTACCCAACTATTAAGGTACTAGGCGGGCACGCACCCCCCTGTGAAGTGTAAGCTTGACTAACTGCTGTGCTGTGCACCTGAAACTAGAACAAAACGACACTGAGTGTAGCTGCGACTGAAAAATAAAAGGTGAAGCTCCCAAGTGTGCGCAGCGAACCAGGGCAATGAGCTCAACGCGCCTCTCGTCACGGCCTCACGGGCCGGACACGCTGCGCCCTCGGCCAGCTCCTCCCGCGGCGCGGCCCCAACAGCTCCCGGAGGCTGTGCCGCGTCCGTTTCCTGGGATCGATATGATGTATGTTCTCAGGGCACTGGCTCATTCTAACTTTTTCTACCAAATTATATGAGCTTTCATTCGATTAAGGTAATTAATTTTGATTTTCACACATGCAGGGTTTCGTTGTAAATGATTTTTCCAGCTTCTCATATAACTCTGAAGAAATTCCTACATTATAACCTGTGTCCTTGCAATTCAGCCCACAATTGCACTTCCATTGCAGTGGGATTATTTAGAAATTAATTTAGTGGATGACTGAGAAAAATACACCGCAGCCCATGTTACAACGCCCGCGCTTGTTTGTGTGACAGACAGCACGTGCACGTCTCCTGGGACAGGAGATGCCTCCCTCTGGAAAGCAGTGGCGGAAAGGAGCCTCGTGGGTCCCTCTGGACGGCGCAGAAGCAGACATGCCGCTGGGGCGGGGTCTCAGGTCAGGGCATTGAGTGGGCCTCGTGCTCCTGGGCGGCCAACTTGCCTCTCCAGGTGCAGGCTGGACCCCACCTGGGGAGCAGGAAGACCGGGTCCGCCCAGGGCGCGCACTCTGGGACCCTCTCCGGCTGGGGCTCGTGGGGCCGGCTGGGGGACACGGGCATCTCTCGGTCAGCCAGAACCCCTGCAGTCCAGCTGCAGGCCCAGGTGGTGGGCTCTGCTCACCACACTGACCAACACCCACGGCAAAGACCCTGCTCACTCCAGTGGTCCCTCTGTCAGGAGCCAGGCCTGAGGGTCCTGCCTCACCTCCCAGACTGCTACCCTGTGCCAGGTTACACCTGGGCCACCCTCAACAATTTTTTAAAAAATATAATTTTATTGATTTCAGACAGGAAGGGTGAGGGAGAGAGAGATAGAAACATCAATGATGAGAGAATCATTGATCGGCCGCCTCTTGCACGCCCCTACTGGGGATCGAGCCTGCAACCCAGGCATGTGCCCTTAACTGGAATTGAACTTGGGACCCTTCAGTCCGCAGGCAGACGCTCCATCCACTGAGCCAAACCAGCCGGGGCAACACCCTCGACAATTTGATAGGCCCCCTAGACTGGCCTGGATGGCTTTTCCGCCACGCCACCCGGTGGCGCTGCTCCTCATGCTCAGAAGGTCAGCCAGCCTGTGTGCCCCACAGGTGACTCTGGACACACCCGAGATTCCCAAACTCGCAACATCACACCAGTGCCCTCTTCCCACCTCCACTCAAGCCCAGAGCTGCCCCCACCACTTCCCCTCAAACAGGTCCAAGCCCAGCCAGTCCCCCCTGCAGCCCTGCTCCCCCTGCAGCCCTGCTCCCCCCTGCGGCCCGGGTCCCCCTGGAGGCCTGGTTTTCAAGGAGGACCAGGTTTCCCCGGCAAACGTGTGTAGCCACTATCCTGGAATAACCGTAGGCACTCAGACATTGTTTATATTTAATTAGCTGCCCTGCCAACATACACAAAATAAGAAAAAAGTCAACTTAGGGTTGCCTTAAGCCAAAAGATGGGGCCATGGTGGTGAGTGGGGGACGGGGGTTAAAAAGCGGGGGAGGGGGGCCGGTTCTCATAATTAGAATCGCACGAGCAAAGTGGACGATTT